GTGGGGGGGGGGGGGGGGGGATGGGATGTGTGGGATGGATCCAGCCTGTGAAAGCAGGTCTGTACCATACCCCATTATGGGTCTAACCAGACCCAGGGCAGCACTGGGGGCTGGATGCTGGGGCACTGTAAGCCAGATCAAGTCAGTGCACCATAGGTTTGATACCTCCACCTTAGACTTCCCTATTTGAGACCTAACGGCCAGCATGGAAAAACATTTTATAGCAGGGCTGTACAACTTCAGTAGCCAGGGGCTGCACTGTTCCAGTTGCATGCCCTGAGCCACATGCCAAGTGCACGTTCCCTGGAACCTCTGTTGCATGTAGCACCTGCCCCCTCCCTTCCCTGCATCAGATTCCCTTCTGCCACCAATACAGGCAATCCCCCTACCCCTGCCAACCCCACTCCTGCATGAACAGTGTGAATCCCACACTCAAGCCCCCTTACTGTTGTGTGAGCAGCAAGCTCACTGAGCCTCCCACCATGCTCCCCTTCCCCAGAGACTCTGGCTGCTACACCCTTGCAGCAACTGGAGCAATGGGGGAAGTTGCCGTTGGGCAGGGTGCAACCTGCAGGCTACACTGACGGCCCCACCCCAAGTGGGATGCAGCCTAGGGGCCAATGGTTAGACAGCCCAGCTGGATAACAAGCTATGAATTCACCTTAGTTGGACAAGATAATTTAATCTATTTTCCAATATAGCTGCTGGTGGCTAAGTGTTTTTTTTTTTACCCCAACACACCACATCATATTACCAGGGTGAAGTTTCATCTATCTGTTTTACAGGAAGAATGATGAGACTACGATGCAGGACTAGTACTAAGACAGCACTAGTACTAAGTATCAAGAACAAGACAGTACATGGATATATTCATGAAAAGAAGCCCAAGATGTAACACATGCACACACGCACACAAAATCTGTCCATCTGCCTTAGTACAGCACGCACCTTAGATACCCATCTTTTATATACAAGAAAAACAACACACACGCACACACACACACACACACACACTTAATACAGCTAACCATTTATACAACATCCTAATCAACAAAGGAAGGTGGAATTTCTTTTGGTAAACCGCTATCCAAAGTCTGAATCAGAAACACAAGAACTGGCATATGCCATGAAACACAAAGGCCATCTAGGTCCAGGACCCTTCTCTGATGCTTAGCAGCAGCAGAAGCTACAGGAAAGGAGTACAAGAAACCCTATTAAGGGTCAAAATAGAGGTAACTTGAGCCTTATGAGGGTCTCATCCTAACCCTACCAGTTACACTTCTCCTTAAACTCTGAAACAACATTTTGGTTCCTTTCTTTTGGAGTTTAAGATCTTGTTGTTTCTAGGAATTCAGAAATATCTAGAAACAAACATGGGCAAAACAGTTATGGTAAACAAAGACAACCTGTTTCCAATCTGGCTGGCTAAATTATCAAAACCGAGCAAGTCACAAAAATTATTCCTATTTAAAAAAATTCAAGGAGGATCATGAGGTCCCATGCGCTGGCTCCAGTACATGGAACTGGTCTGTAGGCCTGATCCAGCCCAGCGCCCCTCACCTGGCTCAGGTGCTGGATGAGTTTGACACCCCAGCTCCAGAGCTCACAGCTCCCATCTTGCAGCTGGATCTGCGTAAAGTCCATTGAAAACAACAGGCCTCCTATCTGTAAGGATCAGATCGCAGGACTTGGACCTATGTGATTTCAACCCAAATCAGACGATGAACAAAAGATAAGCGCAAGGGAAGTGAAAACATTGCTTATTCTTCCCAAAAAAAAAGTATAGCATGACTTAATATTAAAGCTTCGGTTTAGCACACCCCAGCAGAAGGAGCAAGTGAAGAAGGAAAAAGACAATCCCTTGCTTTCACAGACTTACTAACAATTCCACTTTCTTTTTCTCCGGCAGCTTTGCAGAGAGGCTCGGGGCGTCTTCTGTGCCGTTAGGGCTGTCCAGGTCCAGGTCCTTGTGCGGGTGCCCGGCATCTTGCTGCCCTGGCTCTGCCGGTGGGCAGGGACCCCCGGGAGGAGGACGCGGCCGGCGCCCGGGCACGGACAGCAGCTGCTCGGGGGGCGCGCAGGGCGGCAGCCCTGGCCCCTGGATTTGCTGCTGAAGCGCTCGCTCTCGCTGCAGCTGCTTGCGGCTCTTGCCGGCCGACGGGGGCCGGCGCGGGGGGTCGCGAGGGTCGGCAGGATCTGCTCGGGAAGGACACGGCGCTGAGGGGGGACCAGGTGACTGCCGCCAGCGCAACCTCCCTCCCCCTCTCGCAACCGGCGGCGGGAAGGGTTGCCCCGGACACCCAGGCTCGGCCCGGCCCGGAGCTGGGCTGACGAGCACCGCCTCCCTGCGGCCCCTGCCCGGCTCCCGCTACCTGCGCGCTGCCCCCGCAGCCTCCGCAGCTCCTGGTCGGAGAAGCCAGCCCATCCCCCCGCCATGGCGCCGCCGCCGCTTCCGCCTTCCGCTGCCACGTCCAGGCCCCGCAAGCAGGCAGCGCAACTGTCAGCCCGGCGGGGCCTAGCGCGTTGCTATGGGCACGGGGGTGGGTTGAGACCCGCGGGGCGGGGCTTATATAGAAGCAACGGGGGAGGGGCGTTCGCAGGGGATGCTGGGAACGGGGAAGGAGGGAGCCGGGCGGAAGAAGCTGGGAACGGCCCAGAAGACTGGGGCTGCGCATGGAGGGCGGGGAGGGAACCTGGGGAAGGGTTTGCCCCAGAGTGAGGCAGGGATATGGGGCCAAGAGCCAGAAAGGGACACGTGATGGAGAAAAGGCGTGGAAAGGGTGTAGCTTAGGGGAAACGGGCCAAGGAGTAGGCCAGAGAGAGCACATGCACCTTGGCCACCTAGCACATCTTCCCCAGGAAAACTCGAGGCTCAGCGAGTCCAGAACCGCTGGCAAAGGATCCGCTGTGCTGGTGCGCGGAGGGCAGCCACCTGCTGTTGCCACCCGTTCCTCTGAGCTCGAGTGGCAGCGCTCTGTGCCCACCCACACATGTGGATGCCAGTTTCACCGTTATAAGGAATGAAACCCTGCAAGGAGATAAAAAAAAAAAACTATCTTAAGTTTCATTGCTTATTTTGGTCTAGGTCCCAAATGGGCCCAAGGAGGTAAACAGCGGTGTTTCAGTGTCATGTGCACACACACAATCCCCCCCACACTAGCGAATAATCCCATTTGGGTTCTAAGGTCAAGCACTCAGTAGTTAGGAAATCTCAGAATTAAGGTTAGAGTTAAGATTTTTAATTAGGTCTTAATTAGCCCTCTTATCTATATGCATTGTGATCACAAATTAAGCTATCATATAGTATTTTTTGCACAGGACTCCTACTTTAAATCAGTGCACAGACTGGACCTCCTCAGAGGACGAGGTAGGTGTGCGTAGTGAAGGAGGCTGTTGTCTGTAGTGGTTCCTCATTTTGTGTGCAGTGTGGGGGATACTAAAGCAGATGTAGCAGGAATAATAGGAAGAGAGAAGGTAGGCTCCTAGTTAAGGCAGATGAATGCTAGCCTGAGGGTTTTTCAGTGATCATTGCTACTCGTACGTGTCCCTCATTTGGCGGGGGAGGGGGGGTGAGGTCTTGAGACAGCAGTGTCTGATTTACAGAAATGCTGGGCAATGTTTTCTAATCCTGTACTCAGAAAAATCAAATCTCTTGGATAGCCAAAAAACAAAAATAAATTACCAGATACTTGTGACCAGAGTGTGGGTGGCATATAAGACCTGGAGCTACACACTGATAAGAAGAAAACAAAATATTGATTCAGTACTTAGCAGGTGAGCACTGTTCCTCCTATGGACCGAGTAAGCCAGGGTCATGAGCAGAAAGGAAAAAAACCCCACCCATAAATATGAGATCATGTAATTAAACCCTGTAACATAAATTTGTCCCCTTCATGCATATCCATTATGTTGCACAGGTAACTTTAATTCTGGCTTTTCCTATTTTGAGTGCATGGTTTTACCACCATGCTTTTTCAGCACGGGGGTGGAGGTGTGTGTGCACACGTGTTTTCAAACAGCATGAATGAAATTTCAAGGTAATTTAGCTAAAGTGTACTTGCCTCTTGTATGCATACTGGAGAAGTGCATCATTCATTTAACCACATAACTGTCCCAGTTTCTTACCTAATGTTGAAATTTAGCCTCTTTTTTTTTTTTTTTGCACATTAAGTCAGTGGTTCTCAACCTCAAGGCACACCTCCATGACTTGGGAATTGAGTGGCACTCCATTCAAAAGCTAATTTATTACAGTACTTGCCTCCTTGCAGAGGCCAGGTAGTGTGGGCAGGGAAGCAGCCAGACAGGGAGAAGCTAAGCCTGCCCATATCTGCTTATCTCCTTGCACCTTCACTTATTGCGTCATACTTCCTGCAGTACCCTTCTAAAGGATCTTGTGTTACCCTATGCCTCAACACCCCAGTTCAGAATCACTGGATTAAAGTACATGAAGCACTTAACTGTATAGCATTGTCCAGCCCCAATGTCTACTTGGAAACTCAATTGTTAGCTGTTAACTCCATGGTGTCCAACCTCCTGGTCCCACAGGCCAGATGAGGGACACGGGTTCAGTCTGTGCACCAGATCCAACATGATGGTCTGACCCTACATGCCTGGATGCAATGAAGCTATGTACTGGCATGCAAAACCATTGTATCTGGCCTGCAAGGCTCATCATGGGTCTAGCAATTTGGCAGCAGGGGAGTGGCAATAACATGCCTATCACTCTCCCACTACCAAATTTCCAGACCCTTAGGAAGACCCATGAGCCAAAAGATATGCCTCTGTGGGCCAGATGTGGACCATGGGCTGGGGGTTGAGCACCCGTAGGTTAAACTGCATAGTTATAGTAAGTGTTTCCTTTGTAACTAATTGTACTCCTTCTAACTGCACTAGAAATAGAGAAAGGCAATCAACTGGCAAAAGGCTGCTATTGGAAGCCTTGAAAAAGTGACAGGGACTAGTTATTCAAAGTTGGTAATACCAGAGTATGGTAAACAATTAAATAGTTATATACACAGTTTAAGTTGATAGTGCTCTAGCTCAGGGGCGCTAATGCTCTAGATCAGGGGTGCTCAATAGGCCTGTGCAAAGCAGCAACTATTCTCTTCAGATTTGACCAATTCAGAGGGACAGCGATTCAAAATACTGTGCTGATTTGATTTGGCCAATTTGGATGCGAAGATTCAGAGATTTGGCCACTGAGATTTGGGTCCCCCATGTGCTCACCAGCCGACCAGGAAGCAGACCAGAAGTACTTCTGGTCCACTTCTGGGTTCAATGCAGAGTGCGTGGGGGACCCCCTGGTACTCCTCCCCCCCCCCCCCCCCCCC